ACTCAGTTTTTTTTCCCATTGAATGAGCCTTTTGTTTGGGCCTCGCTCCAATACTCTCAACATGCGCAAAAGACAAAAAACTATGGCGGTGTATCTTTCCATGTTGTAGCTGAAGGTTCATTCTCATTGTGCACATTTGGCGAGTAGCCGATTAAAGCTCTTTCTTTCTTTCTTTTAGTTTTGGCAAAGGACAGTTAACCGTTCAATGCAAGAGATGTGCAACCAGCCCCCGATCTCAAGCCGTGCGGTACGGCATGGTGTGGTGCCCCATATTTTCCACTGGAGGTTTAGATGAAGTGTGTGCACAGCACAAGTAGTATCGCACACAAGCCCACTCACGCGACTCGTCGTACAAAGTACGGAAGGAGCCTCGTATCATGTCTTGTTTTTTTGTTGAAAAGAAACCGAACACGACTTCGAAAAAGAAAAACGACAGAGGGCTTAACCGACTCTGATCGTGTCTGAGGAACATAGAAACGTTTGTTGGAAAGCATGGGGGAAGAGGGAAAAAGTCGTTCGGGACATCTGTTAAAAATCTTGAAGGATGCAGAGAAGACTAGCATGGCGGCTGCGCACGGATGAGACGCACAAATCGAGGGAAAGGGAAAGGGAAAGGAAACGGAAAAGGAAACGAAAAAGAAAAGGAAGAGGAGAAGACGTGAAAAAAGAACGATGAAAAAAGAACGAAGATCCCGCTTGCTTGCGTACTTGTGTTCTTTTTGCCTCTTTTGGCCATCAAGTTGGTTACTCGCTACTACACGATACCTGGAAAAAAGCGAAGCGAAGAGAAGCGGGGCGGGGCGGGGCGGGGCAGGGTGGGGAAAGGACTTTGACTCTTCCTGGGACTTTTTCAAGCCAGGTCTCTGCATGTACTGCTACTTCGTCGTGATCAACAGAATCTCACCTAAGTAATTTTCCATTTGTTGTGCCTTGCGTGGGTCAGCGCAGGTGAGCCTCAGGTTGAGCATTAGCTATCTTCTCCCGGAGGCAAGGAGCGTTTTCTGTTACCCTTAGTTTCTTGTATGTACGTCTAACACGTGACATTCCCACTTATCTCGAAAGAACGGGTGGAGTTCCCGCCGGCTTCGACGCCCCTGTTTGAGTGTGTCACACACAGAGAGAGAGAGGTTTTGAGTGTGTCACACAGAGAGAGACACAGAGAGACACAGAGAGAGAGAGAGAGAGAGAGAGAGAGAGAGAGAGAGAGAGAGAGAGAGAGAGAGAGAGAGAGAGAGAGAGANGAGAGAGAGAGAGAGAGAGAGAGAGAGAGAGAGAGAGAGAGAGAGAGAGAGAGAGAGAGAGAGAGAGAGAGAGAGAGAGAGAGAGAGGATATGGTTCGGCCGCAGTGAGAAGGGAACATTATTTGCACGTTTTCGCAACAAAATGCGGTCTGTGCATTAAAGGTGAAAGGGAAGTAGATGGAAGGCGACTTTGTGGGGAAAGCAATACAGTAATACGCAGTCAGGACGAGTGTAGGTTTTCTAGAAGAAAGTAGCGTAGTCGGCTTTTTGTGACGCTTAGCATAAAAAGACGTGGTGAAATCCAAGCTCAGTCCCCTCCGTTTAGGTCGCATTCTTTTCTTTTTTTTTTTTTTTTTTTTTTAATGCTTCTCTGAGTAGTCCATTAGTTCACCGTTCTCGTGCGTGTCGTTCCTTTCGAATTCAGAAAATTTAGATGATCCAGTGCTGTCTCTTATACACATCTAGATGTGTATAAGAGACAGGTGTTGGATGACCTCTCCGCTGCTGAAAAAAGGGAAGCAAAGAAAATGCAGAGTGTGCGTGAACCACGGTTACATTTGAGGGAATCTGTTGTGGTGCGAAGGAAAGGAGCGCGCAAATGCAGCGGGCGCGGTAAGTGGGGGGAGGGCAGAAAAGCAACTGATGCTGTGGAGTATTTGTCAGAGAAATCAGAGCTGCCGCGTTCATCAAGCGAGCAAGTGGGAATGGCGGCTGTACCTGGAATTGGGAAGAGAGGTCGGAGTGCTCAACAGCTAGTGGAAGGCTTGACGGCACCTGTACGTGAAACTGGACCAGGGGGATCATGTCACCCGCCCTCTCGGCGGGTGGCAATGCTGATCTGCGCATCTGCGCTGTTTCTTCTAGCCGCATTGCTAACCTGGCGATGTGCAGAGGCCGCCCCGACGCCGCTCCCCCCGCCAAGCTTAACTGCGCGGAAGGGGGGGAGGGGGGGGACAAACGGCTTGCGTCAGAATCCGAGATCGAACGAAGGCAGTTGGCCTGACAGCAGGCTGCTGACACGTGGGATGACAGACAACAGTCCGAAAATTATGTCATCGTCGGAGCGGAGTGGTGAGGATGACCGGCATGAGGGAAATCAACTGCCCTCCTCCTGGTCTTTGCCCAAATCGTCATCATCGAGGACTTCTACTTTCTTTTCTTTGTGGTTTACCGCGAGCAGATCAGCCGTTGATTTGTCGGGCAATCCGTCGGCAGCGGAGTTGAAGACATCAGACAGGGAGGCCTCAAAAGGGACAGCAGCCGGAGCAGGTCACAGCTTCTTGAATGGCCAGCGAGTATTCAGAGAGAGGGAGTTCAATTTTTTTCGCCGCAGAGGTGGTGGGGTGTCTTTGACAGATGGGATGCAAGACAACAAGGCCGCTGAGTATGGTGTGCATGGTGTGGGTCTCGAGAGGACGAGGGTGCTGGAGCATGAAGAGGAGAGAGGAGGTCCTGGAACGTCGTCATTGCCATCTGCTGGAACACACGGGCGATCTGCGTCTGGCTGGCTCGTTCGCGTACTATCGCCGCACGGTGGTGTCGGGAAGGCGGTGGACATATCACAACGGAAGACCAGAAAAATTCTCTGTCCTAATCAGCAGGAGGAGGAGGAGGAGGAGGAGGAGGAGCAGAAACTGCAGCCAAAACTGATAGAGCTGCAACTTCTGAGTAATCTGGTGGATGAGCTGGGGTGGGGGTCAAACACAGCGTCCAGCAGTAATAGAGTAGTGCACCATGTCGTCGGCACAGCCACTTTTCGTGTTCGGAAAGTGAAGCGAACACTTCGACTGCCTGGGATCGGATGGTCAGTACTGCAAAGGCTGCTCGGCGGGGAAAGCAGTCCCGCGAAGCGGCGCCAGTTGCTCCAGCTGTCAGATCAAGGCTCTGGAAGATCTGAACTTGGTCAGGATGTCGATCACAATGCCGATCGGCAACGTTCTTTGCGTCAATCTGATCCGGAAGGCGACACTCAGCAATTCCATACCTCGCCGGACGACTGGGGCGCGCAATCTCAGGAGGATGAATTCGCCAAACACGAGTCTAATGGCAAGATAACTGCTCCAGACGCAGGTAACCCCCCTCCCCTCTCTCTGTGTGTGCGTGTGTGTGTGTGTGTGTGTGTGTGTGCGTGTGTGTGTGTGTGTGTGTGTGTGTGTGTGTGTCTTTCACGTTGACGTTCAGTCAAGCAGTCACAACGAACTTACGGACTGGCACACGCCGAACTCTCTCTCTCTCTCTCTCTCTCTCTCTCCCTCTCTCTCTCCCTCTCTCTCTCTCTCTCTCTGTGTCTCTGTGTGTCTCTCTGTGGTGCACATGAACGTTCACGCCTCGTCAGAGTCGCTCGCCCATTGTGTAGACACCCACGCGGCTGCGTGCCCTGTGACGTACTTAACACCTGCAGTCGTTACGTGTGCGCCTACCGAGCTTGGGAAAGACGGCTGAAATGAGGGAAACCCTCAATGTCTCTTGTCTGTTCTCTAAGCTCTCTGCACTTTTGCTCTTGCTGTCAAAAATACACGTTCAAACTAGCCGAGCAATGTCATACATTTCGTACATTTCTACTCCTCTCCCTTCCCTGGTATGCGCCATCATGTCAAAGACGCTGGGAATCAAGGGAGAAAAAGCACTTTACGAGATGATGATGGTAGACAACCGAGAAGGAAGAAGTAAAGGAGTTGAAGATAGAAATCAAGGAAGAAGGGGAAGAGGTAAAAGAGGACAGAACAAGGGCGAGGTGGACAAGTTAGTCAGAGACGCAAAACGGAAGCGGGACAAGAAAAGTAGTTCTAACTTCTTAGTATGTCTCTCCTCTCCCAGTACTACTCAACCGAGAATCTTAGTCTCTCTCGAGTCTCGGATGATGAGTTGCTATCAATCCACTTGGGAAAATCGTTAGATCCATTGAAAAAAATAAACAGGTAAAAGGTTATTCATTCTCGTGCCCGCCAGGTGCCTTATCGTCTAGAGGAGGAAGTTTAGATCGCCTCATGTAACCACGTCGACTTCCTCTCTCTCTCTCTCTCTCTCTCTCTCTCTCTCTCTCTCTCTCTCTCTCTCTCCCACTGCCCTTCCGCTAGGATGCATAATTCGGGAGATAAAGAAGGCTTACTCCCTCCCTCGCTCCCTCCCTCCCTCCCTCCCTCACCCATGCACGCAAGCACGGCCGTACTCTCATGTTCTTTTCGAAAAGCAGAGAGAAGGAAACGTGACATCGCCGATCTCGAGCCTTTATTAAGGAACTCTCCTTCTTTTTTTTTGTTGTACCTTTCGAGTCACAAAAGGCCCGTCAGAAAGGCCCAGAAGAAGCCCGCAACTCTTTTTGCTTTTTTTCCCGATTTTTTTTCCCGATTTTTTTTCCCGATTTTTTTTCCCGATTTTTTTTCCCGATTTTTTTTCCCGATTTTTTTTTTCCCGATTTTTTTCCCCGATTTTTTTTCCCGATTTTTTTTCCCGATTTTTTTTCCCGGTTTTTTTTCCCGATTTTTTTTCCCGATTTTTTTTCCCGATTTTTTTTCCCGATTTTTTTTCCCGATTTTGTGCATCCTTACGCAGGGGGCATGCCAAACTTCTCTCTATCGTTCCAATTTTAATGGGCATCCCGAATGACAACACTCCCTTTCTTGCGTGGTCAACTGAATCTGAATGCGGTCAATCTTCTACCTTTGGTTAGGAGTGCGGGTACATCAGAAGCGCCATGTTTCGAGTTAATTTTTATTTATTTATTTATTTATTTTGATGCACCTTCAGAGTCTTTACCATGTTGTTTTATATCTCTTTATTGTAAATGCATTGAAGATTTTTTTTTTATTATTATTTTTTAATCAGGGGAATATCCCGGGTAAGCACCTTCACGTACAACTGTTTACCCCCTTGTACTAGGCTTGTAGCTAACGGTCAAAGATTTTCGTCGTGCTGCCTTTTGGCATCTGTCACGTACAAGCCGAGTGTCTGTTCTGCCTTAGCACTGTTTGCTTGTTCTTCCGCTCCCATCACGTCGCTCTACAAGCCCATGCGTCTTATTTTTTACGATGTACTTGGCAAATTCAATTCGAAATTGCCACCTTCTTTGGCCCGAATAGAACGCACGGTCCTTATGGTTGCATCTAGACTGAAAAGGTGCCCCCAATTCGGCTATATTATGAACGTGTGTTCTAATTGGGGGAAATTCGGGGGAAGACGGTATAGCTGGACTCGATCCCTTGTCTCTGGTCATGCCAGCCATTTCAAAATCATCCTTCCACTGCAGCTATTTAATTCATTCTGCTCGGTACAACGTGGAAGGGAGAAACCGCAAATCGGGCGAAGGCTCATCGTGGGCTATTAACACACACACACACACACGCACGCACACACACACACACACAGAGAGAGAGAGAGAGAGAGAGAGAGAGAGAGAGAGAGAGAGAGAGA